GCATGGTAATGCTAAGAGATTCCCTAAGGGATCTACTATATTCCAGACATACTCTTCCTTACCTCCATTGTGGAGTAGCAAATTTCTCCTTGGTAGTCAGGACCAATCACCCTTATAAGCACAATAACTCCCTTCTGGCCTACTGATTCAGAGGTACGAGGAACCCAAAGTGACTCAGCAGCTGTCTAAACTTCCAGTTCAATGGAACCATTATTGTATCTCAAAACTAGCAGCTTTTTGAGTCTCTTGGTAAATGGACCTGAGTAGCACACACAAATGAGGAATATGCTGTCTCCAAAATCCACAAAGAGTCCACTATGCATTGTGGGCTCTTCTTTGTTGTCAGGGGGACATATGCAACAACTTATCTTTCACATTAAAAGGGATATCTGGCATATCCCTCATCACTGGTTCCCCTGGAAATTTCACTGAGGTAGGTCTCTGAATTTTTGTCAGATTTACTTCCTCCCTCTGACACAAATGTCTTACCAATGAGTCTACAGTTGTTTCTACTTCTAGTTTACTAGGCTCAGTCAGCATAATGTCATCAGCATAATGAACCTGTGATATCTTGTGGAAGGGAAAGGCAATCAAAATCCCCATAAACTAAATTATGATGCAGGGCTAGAGAGTTGATATCCCTGAAATAGGACAGTGAAAGTGTATTGCTGCCCTTTCCAACTGAAAGCAAACTGCTCTGGGTGGTCTTTATTAACAAAGATGGAGAAAAAGACATTGCTAGATCAATAGCTGCATATCAGGTATGAGGGGGTGTGTTGATTTGCTCAAGCAATAAAACTATGTCTGGTATAGCAGCTCCAATTGAAGTTACCATTTGGTTGAGTTTACAGTAATCCACTGTCATTCTCCAAGGTCCATCTGTCTTCTGCAGAGACCAAATAGGCAAGTTCAATGGAACATGGTGGGAATTACCACCACTGCCTCTTTCGAGTCCTTGATGGAAAAATTTAAAATTTTTTTAAAAGATTTATTTATTTATTTTAGAGAGACAGCAGGGCAGACGGAGGGACAGAGGAAGAGAATGTTTAAGCTGGCCCCGCCCTCAATGCAAAGCCCAGTGCAGGGCTCGATCTCACAACCCCTCAGACCATGACCTGAGGGGAAACCAAGAGTTGGTTGCCCAACCGACTGAGCCACCCAGGTGCCCCATGGTGACACTAATCTTTGCAACCCTTCCAGGAATGTGGTATTGTGTTTCATTTTAGGTAGAAGCAGTTTTACTGGCTTGACATTTCCCACCATGATAGCCTCACTCCACAGGCCAGAGAATCTGTGTGGGGATTCTGAAACTGCTGAGTATGTCTATTCCAATCATACATTCCAGTATTGGGGAAATAACCACAAGATACGTTTGGAGGGGCAGCTGGGTGGCTCAGTCAGTTAAGCTTCCAACTCTTGGTTTCAGCTTGGGTCATGGTCTCTCGGGTCATAGGATTGAGTCCTGTGTAGGGCTCCACACTAGGCGCAGAGTCTGCTTGTCCCTCTCCTTCCCCCTCTACTCCTCCTCCTCTCTCTCTCACTCTCTTAAATAAATAAGTAAAATCTTAAAAAAAAAAAAAGGAAAAAGAAAAAAGATGGGTTTAGAGATCCCCTGGGACCACCGTGAGGCAGATTTGAGCTAAAACTTCATTTATCACCTGACCTCCATAAGCCCCTACTTTGACAGTGGACCAAAGTGACATTTTGAGTTTCTTAGAATTACTGTCAGTGAAGTCAGTGTCCAGCAATCCCCAAAAGGGATTTTAAAAAAAATTTTATGATTTACTGACCATTTCCTTTTTCCCCAAAGCACAGTTGCCTTGGTAAAAGGCCATCAGTCCCTATGCGGAAGACTGAGAGAAAGATTAACAGTATAAATTTTTGGAAGTATGCTAGGGTTATTCCTCAAGGGGGGGACCTGGTCTCCCTTTCATTCAAGGGGCTCTGGGTCTGTAAACTGGCTCAAGTCTGGAAATTGAATATGACTCTGTTTTTATGATTTAAGTTAGATTTTTGTTCACTTGAGCTAGAACTCTTCTACTTATACAGATCAAGTGAGAATTTAGTAGGCTTCCCATATATTTTTCTTCTAGGAACACCGTGATCAAAAGCCAACATCACAGGTCTCCGGGAGTCAGACTATTTGATTGCTGTTTTGACTCTGCTGCCCACTATGGTAATGATACCCAATTTGCCTTTGGCGATGGAGTGCTGCCATTTGGGCCCTGCCACTTCACCATCCAATTATTTTCATTGCATTTAGGTTTCTCAGTTCAGTGGCAGCAGTTCCAAATATAAGTCCTGGCCTACAGAGAAATGTGACTGTAGAACTCTTCAAGGATGCTGAGGCTTCCCTCACAAATTTATTTCTCACTGTTGCAGTGAAAGGTGTGTCCACTGGCAACTTGCAAGGTGGGTGAGTAGGTCTTGAATGACAAATGCATCCTGGGGCACCTGGGTGGCTCAGTCGTTAAGCGTCTGCCTTCGGCTGAGGCCATGATCCCAGGGTCCTGGGATCGAGCCCCGCATCAGGCTCCCTACTCAGCGGGAAGCCTGCTTCTCCCTCTGCCACTCCCCCTGCTTGTGTTCCCTCTCTCGCTGTGTCTCTCTCTGTCAGAAAATGCATCCCAATTTTATGGAACTAGACAGTGGAGATGGTTTCACAACATTGTAAATATTTTAAGAGTTACTGAAGTGTATATTTTAAAATGGTTAAGATGGTGAATTTTATATTATGTGAATTTACCTCAATTTTTAAAAAATCTTGAAGACTATGTATAAAATATGTCCATGAGTTGAGTAGAAAGTAAGATTAATTATATCTTATTTTATGTGAAACTACATTAGTTCCTAGTGATCACCACTTCATCTTCTAGAGATCAGTCAACTTTCAAGTATGGGCCAGAAGCCCCTTTCATCTTGGTAGTTAAAAATGCAGATATGTTGAGCCAAATAACTTTGGGTGTGGTGCCCAGGAACTTGCTTTAATTATGTCTACAGTAATTACTGAATGTACACTAAAGTGTGAGAATCATAATTCTAGATGCCCATAAGTCACCCATTAATAATTTTCTCTAAATTTTTGGTTGCGCCACATGTTAATAGCACCTGTCTGTGGTTTCAAATAGTCACTTTTATCTTCTTTTTGAAAATCAGAAGACGATTTGCTCACCCTGGTTGCTTCTTATTTTTTCCACAAGTCCTCAAGTAACCCTGCCTCAGAATTTTCTCAAAGTAGAGAAATTACTTCAAAAACTAGAAATGATAGAATTCAGTAGTAAATGATGCAGTTCTCTGGTAATTTTTACACTTATCTTGGTCTACCTCTTCCCTTAGGGATTTTCTTTCATTTTCTTTCTTTCCTTGACAGACAAAGCAGAAGCAACGGATGAGTTAGTTGATAGGCAGACGGACCCTGTATAACTTAAATCAGTGTTCCTGCTCCTATCTTATTGGTCCAGTGCCCTAAGGTGGGAGTTTTGTTATGAGTACTTCAGTTTTTGTTTTTAAAGAAACACCTGAGTGTTGTCACTTTCAATGTGGAGTTTTACTCCGCTGCTTTGATGCAAGGTATTTAGGCAATCTTTTGGGAATGCCTTCAGAGCGAACATAATAACCTTAGTATTGTTTATGTACCCCGGGACCTCTCATTTTTGCAATTTGGACCACAGACTACTTGGCTCCCACTCTCTCCTGACTCTCCAAATGGTTTATTTTACATTTTGAGCTATTCTGCATGGTTTACTGTGTCCTAAGATGCAGTGATGAATGCTGTGTGCCCTGTGTCCTACAGCAGTCCTCCTTAGCATCTACAATTCCCGCTTTCTTCTGAAATGGCAAGCGCATCCTTTCAACTTAGAGTCGCCTTCTGCTGGTGGGAATTGTGACGACTGGTCGCCGGCAGCCTGGAGAATCCTCCCAAGCTCAGGATCCTCGCCGGGCGCGGTGGCGCGCGCCTGTAGTCCCAGCTACTCGGGAGGCTGAGGCAGGAGGATCGCTTGAGCCCAGGAGTTCTGGGCTGTAGTGCGCTATGCCGATCGGGTGTCCGCACTAAGTTCGGCATCAATATGGTGACCTCCCGGGAGCGGGGGACCACCAGGTTGCCTAAGGAGGGGTGAACCGGCCCAGGTCGGAAACGGAGCAGGTCAAAACTCCCGTGCTGATCAGTAGTGGGATCGCGCCTGTGAATAGCCACTGCACTCCAGCCTGGGCAACATAGCGAGACCCCGTCTCTTTTGAGTTCTCACCTTAAAGTATCCTTTCTTCTCATGTACCTATCGAACACAACGAAAAGTGGCATACTTACATTCTTGCCCAACAGTTTTCCTACTACCCTGTGAATTTCCCCATGGTGAGGCAATCTTCTCTTGTTCTGTCTTACTTTTGATTATCTAGCGAAACACCTGAATATTCAGGTTGCCTAGCGTTTATGGAGTTCCTATTGTATACCAGGTACTACGCTGAGGCAAGGGGATGCCAAGACCGAGGTTAAATGAGAATCCCACAATACATCTCAAAATACTCTTCTGAGAGCAGGGCGCATCAAAATAGGAACTCCTTTCTGAACGTTGCTTCACCTTTATCATTGAGGGTAATTTGTAAGGCGAATGAAACAGTTCCGCTTCGTCGCATTTCAAAATTCTACTGGTCCAGGTAACCGAATGGAAAGGGGTTGTTGCTCTGGCATACCGAGCCCTACCGCCCTTCTAGGGGAAATCCTCCCAGTACGCGCCTCATAAATTTTTACCACCAGCAGGGGTCACTAGGGAGGCTTGCTTAAGTCCCGAAACACACGGGGGAAAGGTAACCGGACTGGTCCGTCAGCTCTCCAGGAAGAAATGCACTTTCAGAGAATAATTTGGATTTATTTCGAATTCTTTTGGCATACGAAAAGCCAGCTGACGGCGACTTGATAGTCCAAATCTTCAGAAAAGTGACGCAAACACCTTCGCTTCAAGGAATATTGGGTCTTCTGCGCGGCCGTAGATTTCGGCCACGTGCGCCTGCGCATAAGAGTAGCGGCGTTGAGTCAGGCAGTCAGTGGAGAAAACTGCGGTAGCGACCCTCAGACCTCGCCATGAAGACTCGCTTTAGCACCATTGACCTCCGCGCGGTACTCGCGGAGCTGAATGCCAGGTACTGAGCGATACGTGACCAGGCTCGTGCGGGGAATGCAGAAGGCAGAGGCCAGTGCCCCAAAGCGGAAGAAAGACCAGCCTGATGTTTCCTTAGTCCCCAGTGCTTTTCTTCTGCGGACCTGGCTAGGCCTGGCTGGGCGAGCGCGTGACATCTTTCCCGTGGCCCTCAGGACACCTGGGGGACCCCAGCGTCCGCGGGCCCCACACCCCGCTCTCGCGGGTTGCCTGTCTCACCAGGTCTTGTGTCAGGCTTTGGCTGGGCCCTCGCCGAGCTCTCGCCTTGTTGGCCTGAGTTGCCTGGGTCTGGCAGCAAACGTTTAGTAAAACACGAGACACCAGGTGGAAGCCAGAATGCCCCAGTAGGCTTTTGCCTCAGGGGTTTCCAGACTGGAGGCCTGATTTCTTTGACACTCCTCCTTACTCCTAAGAGAGGGAATATCGGCGTTTTAGCTGCAAGTAACAGATTCTAGTCAGGTTTCTATTCAGCTGTATGAGTTTTGTCATTTTTCCAGGGTTTCGTTTATCTTTTTTTCCTTTTGTAATAAAGTGGATTAGATTGTACTATATTTCCTTAAAAATATTGGGTCATTTCAAGGACGCAGGGCATTGCATGGTTTTCTTAGGTTTGGCATACCACTTTTGTTCATAAAAAGTTACAATTAAGTTTTGGGCTGAATGCCTGATGGCCTTCAGACTCTGCTCCCTGGTTGACTCCATATCCTTAAAGTTGGGGATCCCCTCTTTCGAAGGCTCTGCTTCCGCCTGCCGCTTTAATTTTTGTGAAGTTTTATATTTCAAATGTTGTTACAGGTTTCCTTTCTCTTTGCAGCTTAATAGGAATGAGAGTAAGCAATGTTTATGATGTGGATAATAAGACCTATCTTATTCGTCTTCAAAAGTAAGAGCATTTTACAGGCTTGTTTTACTTTCGTAATTAAATATGAGATTATTAATTTTTTTTACTTGCACTTTTAGTCTGTTTTACTGAGTTAGCATTGACAAGTGCCCTAAAGAAAAATTTAACTTTTTTCTTCTACAGACCAGACTTTAAAGCTACACTTTTACTTGAATCTGGCATACGAATTCACACAACAGAATTTGAGTGGCCTAAGAATATGATGCCATCTAGTTTTGCCATGAAGGTAAACTTTATACTTGAAGCTAAATTTTAAGGCCCTGAGATTGGTCACTAACGATTTAAGTTTTAAAACATTCGGTTTTCCTTTACTGTTATAAATAAAGTAGAGATAAAATAGAGTAGTTGATAGATACTGGGATGAATAAAGTAGCTGTTTATTGACTTCTCCCTGTTACTCTTCACGCCCCATTGTGCTCCAAATCTTTCTGTTCCCACAGTCACTATTCTAGTTTGAGCTTTCATAACATTTCCTTAAAGTCCCTTAATTACAGTCTATTTCTTGCTATCAAAATAATTGTGTTAGACCAGTGTTAATTTTTCTAAAGCCTCATTTTCATCAGTTTTTCACCTTTTTATGATTCCCTAATTTCTGAATCCATATCCTATTATTCTTGGCTTTCTATGATATGCCCTCCTCCCCTTTCCTAGTTTTCTGCAGTTCACTTTTGAGCTACCAATCTGTATTTTGTTGGAATACTCAATGACATTAGTATGTTACCAATCATATCTTCTTACTTTTCACTTCTTTCTTTTGTTTTTTCTTTTAAAACTGAGATTCTGCATTTGTGGACGTGTTACCTATCCATTTGTTGACATAACAGATATACTGAAAGATTATGTGGTACAGAGGAAAGACATTAGAATCAAATATACCTAACTTTGAATTAATGATTTTGCCGCTAAATAATTTTATAACCCAGAAAAGTTACTTAACCTCTTGAAACTTAGTTTCTTTAAATGTAAAATGTGGATAATACCTCCCTCATGGGGTTACTGGTGAGGATTAATTGAAGTAACATGTAAAGCACCTAACACAATGCCTGACACATATTAGGGCTCCATATGTATTAATTTCCTTCTTCCTCTCCTCCTCACTTTCCTTCAGAAATTTATTTGTTTTGGCATTGTGTTATTTCATTAGAGGCTTTACAGAGAAGAATCTTATCCCCAGCAACTTAGAATCTGTTTTGGATTACAAGTTAGGTAAGTGTTTCCCAAATCACAAGGCCTGTCACAAAATTATCAAACTCTTAAAAGTTTAATATACTTAATAGTAAGCCTACATGGTTCTTTTGGGAATTGTCCTTAATAATGGTGACACTTGGTATTTGTATAGCACTTTTCAAAGTAAATGAATAGTGTATATTTTAAGTTGTTTAATTTAACAGTGGATATGAAGAACAGTTATTTTAGTTTTACAGATGATGTAACAGATGATAAGATATATGATACTGGGATTGTGTAAAAATCCCCAAATCAGGCTATACTAACAGGAAGCCAAACACTCTAAAAAGAGAATTTTATGAGTTAGGTGTACATGCTAAACTAAACGTATAGAGAGATACTCTCCATTGGAGCAGACAATGTTAAGCACGTTATAAATAATTTAAAATAAAGAGATGCTACTGTTGTATGGCATAGTCATGCTCAGTTTGTGGTAAATCACAGTGATTGTTCCTCATTCTCACATTTGGGGATGCCAGTTAACGCTTTGTGGCACTGACAGTCATTTTCACCAAGCTCCTAATAGGGAAATAAACAAAGTAAGCACTACATATGTACTGTATGCCCATCTATACTCATGATAAATAATCTTCCCTTTTCTCCATTCCATGGTGTGGATTTCTGTTCCCTTCAAGGATGCCTTTTATCTCCATTTTAACTTTATTTTTCTTGAATAAAAATGCTACTGGGGGACTCTGGAAGGATTGTGATTTTCCCCTGGGGACTTAAAAATAGCCCTATACGTAGGCCACTGTTTAAATCAAAATCATCATAGACCACTCATAAATCAGAACTATTGAATATAGGAGGGGGAAATTGTTAGAAGTTTGAAAAGTCTTATTACATCTGTCTGAATATACAAGTGCATAAAATAATTTTAGTCAATCTGAACTATCAGGTCTGGGGAAGAAGTCTTGGTTATCAAAGAGTTGGCATTCTAAGAATGATTGTATATTTCTTTCTCTTTTTTTTAAGGTGACTATATTAACTTCTCTGTAAAATTTGTCTTGAAAGCATTCTATTTTACTGGGCTTGACTAAGGGGTCATTCAAATTCAAGAATTAGAAACAATTGGAAGATTTTTTAGGCACTACAGAGTAATCTTGTTTCTGATCTATGTTATGCTTAAATATCTGTACTAAAGGATGGTATATATAATCTAAAGCAATAGGTATTTACAAAGTAATTTGTATTTGGGTTTAAAATGTTAATTTTATTTTAATTGCTAGTAAGAAAAGAACATTGTGACTTAGGGATAGGAAGAATGGGATTTGATAAGGAATGAGAGTTAATACATTTGGATTTGAGCTAGGTTGATCAAAACCTTTGGAGACAGTACCAGAAAAATTGTCTGGGTTATATTAATAAATTTGTGGGACTAGAAGGTAATTGGATGTATGTAGAGGATTATACCAATAGAATACCAATAAGCTCATGGTTCAGAATTTGTATTTGAAGTGGAAGATTAGTGAAAACTACTAATTAATTTTGAACACAAAGGAAATTGGGGATACTTAAAAGATGGAACTAGAAAGAGGCTTAAAAAAAAGGTTATGGTTTTGAATGAGGTCATCAGGGTAAGAAAAAGGGATTTAGCAGTGGTATAAACAACAAAATAAATATCTCTATAGATCTGTCATTATCTTCTTTAAAAAGTATAAAATACTGTTTCAGAGTTAGAGTCGTCTGAAGTGTTTTTCCTTTGATTATCATCTGCAAGCTTTTGTTTACTACTTTTTAAATGTTATTCTTGATGATAATGAAAAGAGGAAACTTATTTACAAACCAGTATCAAACAATTAGGAATTGACTTCTACATAAATGACATTTTCTTCTGTTTTTCACTAGTGCCGAAAACATTTGAAGAGTCGGCGATTGGTCAGTGCAAAACAGCTTGGTGTGGATAGGATTGTAGATTTTCAATTTGGAAGTGATGAAGCTGCTTATCACTTAATCATTGAGCTCTATGATAGGGTAAGTTAAATTTGGGGAACGAGATAAAGGATAATTGATCATTATATTGTTAATTATTTGTGTAATACTATTGTACTGTGAAACATGGGCAGGGAACGTTCTGCCCCTTCCCCTGCAGGCAACTGCAACTGCAGCCCATCTGAAATTGATTTTTGTATGTGGTCTCAGGTAGTGGTCAGTTAAAATTTGCATGATACCTACTTTAAAAATTTTTTTTTAAAACTTTTGTTTTGAAATGATTATAGATTCACAGGAAGTTGCAAAGATAAGAGAGGTCAGTGTCCCTCAGTTGTTATATTTTACATAATTATAGTACAGTATCAAAATCAGGAAATTGATATTTGTACAATGTATGCATCTAGTTCTGTGCATTTTACCACCTTTGTAGATACATGTAACCACTATTGCAGTCAAGATACCGAATTTTCCATTACCACAGAGATCTTCTTGGTGATACCTCTTTATGGTAATACCCACCTATCTCTCTTCCTGCCACCGTCCCAACCTCCTGACAACTACCAATGTATTCTGTCTCTGATTTTGTCATTATATTGGGTCTTCAACAAAGAAGTCAGTTTCAGAACCTTGCTGGAAAGGATATATCAGATACTCTTAAACAGGAGTAGATAAATTACAGCTGGTGGCCCCTTGTTATAAAGCTTATGAACTTAAGAATGTTTTTTATGTTTTAAAAGGGCTCTTAAAAAAAAAAAGATGCAACTGAGACCATATGTGGCCACAAATGCTAAAATGTTTACTATCTTGCCTTTTACAGAGTTAGCTTTGTAAAAAAGTTTGCTGACCCCTGCTCTTATATAATAGACTCACATCGTCTGAGCCAGTATTGCTTAGACAAATGCCAAAATGTATCAGGGGACCAAATTAGAATTTATGAGACTTACTTTAATCTAGAAGCAGGTGCTTTTATGAAAATAGAGTGCCAACCTGTGATCTAGGATGATTAGAATTAATCAGATAGGACTAAATAAACTGGAGAGAATCTAATTGTGGTTAATTTTTTTCAGAATATTGTTGGTGTTATTTTTATGCTGAGTGTTTTATGGTATATGATAAAGCCCTTTACCTTTCTCTTGATCTGTAGTAGTTTGTGCTTCTGCAAATTGAAGTGATACATTCTTTAAATGGTAATTTGCTCTTATTGATCCCTTAGAATTTTAGGAACAAATGTCTTTTATGGAGATTTTTTTTTACTGCTAATGGCAATGTGTATATTTACATAGGTTTGATAAGAATTTGTCCTTCCTTTTACCAAGATATAAGTAGGCAAATTGATTGTACAACTAAGGTCAAACCTGGGGTATCATAGTTGAGAATAAGTCTCATTTAAGTAGGATAACAAGCTCATCATTAAGGAACAAAGGTTATATTGTATATGCAGAAGCAGTGTCCACAAAGCCCTCCTGAGAAACTGGTTTTGTACCTATTCTGTGGCGTGTAGGATCCTAGCCTATTGGTAGTAAGGAAGGGTAGGTTTGAGTAACTTTAAAGAGGAATTTACCTACATTTATAGGTATACCACAGACACAATGAGTAGTGGTTTTTTTGTTTGGTCTGGTTTCATAGCTTTGAATTAGAAGCAAATACTAATTGTTAAATCTCTGGGATAACAAACTTTTGAAAATAAAATCCCAGATTTCTTATGAATTCTCCAGGCAGCAGTAATTATTATGGCTTTAGTAATTGCTTCATACCTTATGGCTCTAGATTTGCTGACTATAAGGAGATTTGTATATGTTAATTAACATTTCTTGCTGTACTTTTATAAATAAATCAGGCCAAGATGCAGTGAGAGTAGCTTATGTGTATGTATATTTGTCATCAATAATTTTAAATGTTATGATCATGAGAGGGGACTGTAAAAAAAAAAAAAAAGGTATCCAAAATTTGAAAAGAGACAAAAAGGACACAGTGTCATTTTAGTATCCTGCTGAGTGCTGTCTAGCAGGCACTCCTGGGGATTATTTTTTTCTTGAAGGATGTATATCTTTGATTTGCTATTTACTATTGATTAGGTTTTTAAAACAACTCTATAAAGGTAGATTTTAACTTGTAGGAAACTGATAGAAATACAAATAATTCTTGCCTCATAGCAATGAAAATAATTGCATCTAGTAGAGATTCAAATTATATCTGTCCAGAGAAAAGATATCCCCAAAGGTTGGTCTTATCTAACTGCCTTGAATTGGCAATCTTATACAGTCATTCTCTCAGTCACTCTAAATATTTCACTTATTTCATTTCTCTTACAACCAGTTTTACAATCTAGTTGGTTCTCTTATTAATTAAATAAACTTTTTACAGTTACCAAAATAGTATATTGTCTTGTGTCAACCATTGTTTCTAGTGAAATCATTGTTGGCTCTTTTGAAGGTAATCTGGGCTTTTAATCTGGATGCTTTAAAATTTTTTCTCTTCATGTTCAGTTTTCAGTTTTGCTGTGGTGTGCCTAGTTGAGTTTTTATTTGTAATTATCTTTTGGGGGTTCATAGCACTTCTAGAACTGAGTTTATGTTTTTCATCAGTTTTGGGAAACTCAGCCATATTTTCTTTGACCTGTCTTCCAGGTCACTAATTTTATTGCTATCAGACAAGAGTCATTTGGAGTCATTTGGAATTGCTTTGAGCGTCTGTTGTTTTGTTTTGTTTTGTTTTTAAGATTTTAGTTATTTGACAGAGAGAGAGAGACAGCAAGAGAGGGAACACAAGCAGGGGGAGTGGGAGAGGGAGAAGCAGGCTTCCTTCAGAGCAGGGAGCCTGATTCGGGGCTCGATCCCAGGACCCTGGGATCATGACCTGAGCCGAAGGCAGACGCTTAACGACTGAGCCATCCAGGCGCCCCTTGAGTGTCTGTTTTTATTGTCTGTTGTTTCTTTTGATTTTAATTACACTGTCTTGTCTCCTCACATGTCTGGTTATTGTATTGTGTGTCCGACATTGAGTAGGAAAAACAGTAGTTATATTGTGAGATCTGGAATGATGTTGTCTTCCTCTAGAGAAGATAATTGCTTTTGACAAGTGGCTAAAGGCACAGATAATCCCAGATTACCTCACTCCAGTCAAGAATTGAATTGATAGAAGCTGGGCCTGGAAAAGCTGGTATATTTCCAATTCATCTCATCCCCTGAGATGTAGCCTTTATGACCCTCTATTCAGAGCTGGACCTACAGGATATCCCTCCCTCCCCAACTCATCTTTCACTTGGACTCTGAACTCTGGTTTTATTCCCCTTAGTTGTCCCGTAAGTCTATCAGAATTTATGCTCAGCTTCTCAGCCTATCATCAGCTGCTTCTTAACTGTTAGACAAATGATCCGAGGGGAAGATTAGCCCCAAGCGTGGGACTTATCTTTCTGAGTTTTCTTCTCCTAGGTTTCAGTCCTGTAAATGTTTACTGTCTTGCTTGCATTTTTTATTTCTTAAAAGACAGGCTTTGTGTATTTTGTCCATATAATGTGATGTGTATATCCCCTAGAGAAGGATTTGTTACTTAGAATTTTCAACTTACTTGATCACAGAGTTCTTTTTTTATGGAGGGGGGACCATCTTAAGGAAGAGTTTGGGAAACCTTGATTTAAGGAAAAAACACTTCCAGGGAAGTAACTGCCTTACTGGAATCTGCCAGATGTTCTCGGTAATTGCACATTTTGATTCAACAAACATTTATTAAGTACCTTCTGTGTGCCAGGCTCTATGGCCAGGTGTTTTTCAAGTCACATATTCCTGAACCAGACACTATATGGACATTTTTCCGAGCTCCCAGCTTTCCTTCTCCAGTTAACTTTTATGTTAAATGCATGAATGCTTTGAAGTCAGAACTTTCAGGAGTAGGTATTACTCTTTGAACACCTAGTAACTTCTGGTTAATCAAGGTGAATGGTGGCCCCATCTACTAAAGCCACTTCCCCAGCTTGAGATTGGGGCTACTCTTCCTATCTTCTCTGACCAACTTCTAAGTAGTTGCTAAGGCATTGTGATTATCTATTTTAATTCTGTAACAACCCCTGTCTTTCCTGTCTATAATAAATTTGGAAGGCTGTATTCTTTAGGCAGTTTTATTTTCATTAAGTTTTCCCCCTTCTTCGCCTGAGTGGCTGAGTCAGTTAATCGCTCGACACTTTAGTTTTGGCTCGGGTCAGGATCTCGAGGTTGTGGAATTGAGCCCCGTGTCCAGCTCTGTGCTCAGTGCAGAGTCTGCTTCAGATTCTGTCTACCTCTCTCTCTCTCACACTCGTGTGCAGTCTCTCCTTCAAATAAATAAATAAAGTCTTAAAAAAAAAGTTTCCCTCCTCTTTTTTATTGAAAAGATTATGTAACAATATATTTAAGTCTTTTTAATATTTTCATTTTCCCATATATTTGCTTTCTACTTCCTAGAATACAGAATTTTTTTGTCTTGCTATTTTTTACTTAAGATTATAAACATTCTCCTACTTTTTCAAGACATAGTCTTAATAAGTTAACAGCTTTTAAATAGTTTGTTATGTTGATATATCATAATTCAGCAATTTCCCTAATTTTCACATTTAGACTGTTGCCATTTTTTTTTTCTATTGTAAATAAACTTCAGTGAATATCTTTAAGCATGTAGCTTTTGGTTTTATTGCGTTATTACAGTAGGATATATTACAAGTGTGGAATTACTTGGATAGAGAGTATAACTGTCTTTATTCATTTTCCACATAACTTGCTATCAAAAGACAAATAGCTCTTCACTTAGCTCTAAAATGTCTGTTCTGAATTGTTCTTAATAAGCCACAGTATCTGTAGACCTGCCTCATGCAAGGGCAGCAGTTAGTTCAGCTGGTGGTCATCAGGGTGTTAATTGACTACAGGTTTCCCCTGCTATCCAAAAGTAGAGCCGTTCTTATGAAACCTTTTATAAGCTGAAATGGTGTAAAGCAAAGAAGCAGTTGCCATCAATTTATATGGAAAAATTTTTGAGCACTCCCAGACGCAAAAAATAACTTCTCTTAGGCTCTTCTGATACTTTAGGTCATATCTTACTAATAGGCGCACAAAATAAGTAGAGAGAAAGCACAGATGCTCACAGTTCAAAGCTATGATGGCTTGCTGCTGAGATGCTGAGTGTAGTTCCAGGGAATCGGCAGTGCCACCTTTCACTGCTTGGGATATGTCCTGACTCTGTAACAGATCACTGCAAAACAGACTGAGTGCTTTTTTTCATAAAAGTGAAAATCCTTTAAAGATTTCTTTCAGTTAGTGAAAACAGGTACTAATGTAGGTCTTTTATAAGAAAGCAGTTTTGAAAACTGGGGGATAACTGTATTGTGCTTCCATTAGTGACTTCTATAGAACCATCAGACAATGAGTTTAAAGTTGCTGTACATTCCTTATGTTTCAAACTTGGGGTCCTTTATTTGCTTATCTTATTTCACAGTCTGTGCTGTGCAAGTGCAAAGAGCAGTGTTTAGATGTGATTTAAATGTTTTTTGTTTGTAACTTCATTTCTGTAGATTAAGTTTTCAAGAGACTGCAATATCTTCCTCACTTTTTAAGAAGTTTCAAGAATGATTTGGGAAAAGCAGTAAATTATATTTTATTCTATTACAGGGGAACATTGTTCTTACAGATTATGAGTACCTAATTTTGAATATCCTGAGATTTCGAACTGATGAGTCAGATGATGTTAAATTTGCTGTTCGTGAACGCTATCCAGTCTATCATGCTAGAGCTGCTGAGCCTTTGCTTACCTTGGAAAGGTAACATGTTTTGTTTATAAGCTCATTTCATAATGTATTAGGAGGTAAAATAGGTCAAAGGTCAGAATATGAATGAACTGTCACATAAGAAAATATTTTGTTTACTTGCATACAGTAACTAAATTTGGATTGCTTGAACTACATAAATGTGCATATAAGCAATTAAGCCTCATTTGCAAGTAGCAAATATGTCTTTTTTTTTTTAATTTTTAAACATTTTATTTATTTATTTGAGAGAGGGACAGAGAAAGTGAGACAGCACAAGTGGGGTGAGGGGCAGAGGGAGAAGCAGACTCCCCGCTGAGCAGGGAGCCCGATGCGGGGCTCGATTCCAGGACTCCGGGATCATGACCCGAGCTGAAGGTAGATGCTTAACGACTAAGCCACCCAGGCGCCCCGCAAATATATGTCTTTTTAATCTAAGTCTGGTGTTACTTCAGATGTTTATGATTTCTTGGTAAAGTGAGGGGACTTACTAGCTATTCTGTAAGAAGACAGATGTCTATCTTAGGCAGAGTGCAAATGGAAATGGTTTAGCCAAGAAAAGGGAGTACTGTGGGATAAGGTGCTGATTGTAATTATAAAATTATAATGATGAAATGTTTGCAAGAAAATGTAGTGCTCTTCTGGCTGAAAGGTTTTGCTGGCTAATAGCTATAGCAGAGGTTCTGAAAGTGTAACATGCATCCCATTCACCTGGAGGGCTTAATAAAACATAGATTGCTGCCCTTGCTTCCAGTGTCTGATTCAGTGGATCTGGGATCGGCCCAGGAATTTACATTTCTTTTTTTTTAAGATTTTATTTATTTATTTGACAGAGAGAGCCACAGTGAGAGAAGGAACAAAGCAGGGGGAGTGGGAGAGGGAGAAGCAGGCTTCCCGCTGAGCAGGGAGTCCGATGTGGGGCTCGATCCCAGGACCCTGAATCAATCCCAGGACCCTGAGATCATGACCTGAGCCGAAGGCAGATGCTTAACGAAGGCAGATGCTTAACGACTGAGCCACCCAGGCAGCCCCAGGAATTTACATTTCTAACAAGTTCTCAGGTTATGTTGATGCTGCTGATCTGGGGACCAGAGGGGCCCACAGCATCGTTAAGAGTTCTTATTAAAGCCATTCCAGGTATTAAGATATATCACCAGGTTCTACAAACATTTACCTGTATATAAAAACATCACTTTCCTGTCATGTATGAGCACATTGACAATAAGCAATATGACTTAGTTGAGAAAGTATTGGTTTTTCTTAGGAAATTTGGTTTCAGGTCCCAGTCTGCTGCTCAGGAACCTACTACCCTTGGATAAATTACTTTTACAACCCATTTTCTTACCTACAAAGTGAACTAATTCCTCTTGTACTTTAGAGTACCATGATGATCAGGCAATTTGATGTGTATGAAAGTATTGTGAATATGAATATTGCTATAAATATAAGATAGTAAGAGGTGTGTCAATTTTGTTTTCACAGATTGACTGAAATAATAGCCAGTGCACCTAAGGGTGAACTATTGAAGAGAGTTCTTAATCCATTACTTCGTGAGTAATCCTAAATAGAGCAGTGAAATGTTTGCAAGAAAATGTAGTTTTCAGGATTCTCTTATGAAATTAGGAGGCATTAAAAAGTTATCTCTGCAACTTTCCAACTGTTAGTATAGCACACATAAAACTTGTTAAGTTTGGGTTTTTTATAAATTTACTCTGTTAACATGATGTATTGCATTAACTAGTTTTTGGATGTTAAAACAATCTTTCATTCCTGATTTATGTCCTTTATATGTGGCTCAATTCCATTAAATTTCTATAACTTATGCACTGACTTCTGTAATTGTTTTATAGTCTCAAATATTTATAAGTACTTGAATTGTTATTCCTAATAACATTTCAAAAATAAGTAAAATAAAATCTTAAAAAGCAAAATAAGTAAATTGTTATTTTCACTGGCTACTGTAATTGAGTAGATATTTATATTGGGATATAAATTTTGGATTATATTTTGAATGTTAAATTTTATAGGAAAATACTAAAAATGATACCCTCTGCTTTTATAGCCTATGGACCAGCTCTCATTGAACACTGTCTTATAGAAAATGGATTATCTGGAAATGTCAAAGTGGATGAAAAATTTGAAAGTAAAGGTATGCCTGCATGCTACAAGATTTGTCCATTTTCATTTATTTCCTTTTTTAAAAACTATGAAAATTAATTCTGGGAAAATAATAAAAGTGAGCAGGTAGCCGTAAACTTAAAAACATTTAACCCGTGAATGTTCTATCCATATGGTATTCCTGGCTTCCTACCCTAATGTGGCACTTTTACTTTTTTTTTTTTTCTTTTTAAGATTTTATTTATTTGAGAGAGAGAGAAAGCACAGATAGGGAAAGGAGCAGAGGGAAAAGTAGACTCCCCGCTGAGCAGGGAGCCCAATGCGGGGCTCAATCCCAGGAATCATGACCTGAGCCGAGGGCAGATGCTTAACTGACTGAGCCACCCAGGCTCCCTGCTTTTCTCCTTTTTAAAGATTTTATTTATTTGGGACAGAATGAGAGAGAGAGCACAAGCTGGGGGCGGGGGGTACAGAGGGAGAGGGAGAAGCAGACTCCCCACTGAGCAGGGAGCCTGAGGAGAGGCTTGATCCCAGGACCCCGGGACCATTACCTGAGCTGGAGGTGGATGCCTAATTGACTGAGCCACCCAGGCACCCCTCTAATGTGGCACTTTATCCCTAGTAACTCACAGTTCAGTCTCTGCCTTATTACCTTTCAACTTTAGAATATTCTCTCTTCCTCTCCCTAAATATTTGAAGTGGTTACCAAACTTGATAGTCTCTGTTACAGGCTTGAAGGAGTTGAATTACTCACCTTCTGACTAGGAAGTTGGAGTGCTTTTAGAAATAGCATTATTCATGCATTTTAATTCTGTAAGAACTGTAATGTAGCTATAAGATGAATTAGGCTTTTGTAATTACTTAAAGGAACCTAACTAAATTGCCAATTAGGATAATAAAAATTAGAGGAAATATAACGGAAATGGAAGACTTGGTTTTTGACAGATTTATCTGCAGATTCTCATGTAAAATTTTTAAAGTCATTCTTCACGTTTGTATTTTGGGGTTATATATAATTTAAGCTTTAGGGATAGTAATTTTTATGCTGTAAATGTTTTTATGTTTAAAAATACAAGTTAAATGTTTTAGTGAATGATTTAGTATTTAAAATACTAATTCGTAGTGCAATCCTGATCAAAATGCCAACAGGTGGTATTGTTTTTGCAACTCTAGTGTTTTATTTCAAATATGATATTCTTGTGGAATAAAAGCATGTGAAAATGTTCAGGAAAACTGGAAAATAATAGTAATGATGGAGAATAGCCCTTTCATAGATTAAAATATATTAAGAACCTAACAGTAAGTTTTTGAAGAAATACAAAATAAAGAATTCAGAAACAGGCCCAAATATATATGGAAATTTAGTATATGAACAAAATACCTTTACCATCATGAGGGGAAAAATGATTCAGTAAAAAGCTGTTGGGATCACAAGCTGGCCAAAACATATTCTTAATTACATCTACTGATTACAAACATGAAATAACTGTATCTACTTTTCTTGAACATTTTTTACTATTGCATCAGCACTTTTCTGTTTTCTACATGGTTGTTTAATAGTTGTTAATTGACACTTGATTTTTTTCCATTTTTATTCTGTTAGATATTGAAAGAGTACTTGTTTGTCTGCAGCAAGCAGAAGACTATATGAAAACAACATCCAACTTCAGTGGAAAGGTAGCACCACATATACTTATTGTATATTGTTGTGGTTTTATTTATTTAGATTTTCAGAATTTAAAGTTCATTAAGGATCACTACATGTAAGTTTTTTGTTGTAATTTGGAAATTCAACATCTATAATATGCTTATTCTAGGGTTTTTTGTTTTTTTAAATTGCTGTTGGGTTTATAATTTTTCTTCTGTTTCTTTTATAGGAAGTATTAGGTGAAGTCATTATTGTTATACCAGGAAAGTTGAGGGATTTGAAAATATATCCTCTTAGGTTGATTTTTAGATAGAGAAGCATGTTTTAATTTACCAGCACTTTTTAAAAAATTGGTGATTTACATCACTCAATTTTTTATATTAAAAAATTTTTTTTTAATTTAAATTCAATTAACCAGCATATAAAACATTAGTTTCAGATGTAGAGTTCAGTAATTCGTCAGTTGCATATAACACCCAGTGCTCATCACACCACGTGCCTTTCTTAAAGCCCGTGACCCAGTTACCCCATTCCCCCACCCACCTTCCCTCCAGCAACCCTCAGTTGCTTTCCCATAGTTAAGCTTCTCCCCTAGTTTGTCTCCCTCTCTGATTTCTACCCATTCCGTTACATCACTCTAATAGGTAAACATCCTCTGAATTATCTCATACCTTCTTTTTCTTCCCTATTGGAAGTATAACTTTATAACAGAAGTTCAGAAAAAGTTCTGAGTAATTATACCTAAATACAGTGCAAATATCCTGCCCAGTTTTTTTTTTTTTTTTTTAAAGATTTTATTTATTTATTCATTAGAGACAGAGGGAGAAGCAGGCTCCCAAGGAGCAGGGAGCCCGATGCGGGACTTGATCCCAGGACCCTGAGATCATGACCTGAGCCGAAGGCAGACGCCCAACCATCTGAGCCACCCAGGCGCCCCCTGCCCAGTTTTTTAAATAAATTAAAATTTCCTACCAACAAAGTGAATCTAAGATTTTTTCTGCTGGAAGTAAAATGCTTTTGGTTGTTTTAAGTTGCAGAACATCTAAAAATGGAAAGAAAAAAGCATAGTGCACATGTATAATCCCACCACTTTATTAAATCACTAGTTTTCATTTTCTTCCTTATTTTTTCTTGTCCATATGAAAAAAAAAACAGTATTATTTAATAATATTTAGCCTAGAAACATCATTTGAGAATTGATACAGTCAATAGACAAATGCAGCAGATTATTTAAAACTGGAATAATTTTATAAGTTAAATTAATAAAATTTGTATCAGAAATGGAAAGTAAATCTTTGTTAACTATGAAGAGAGAGAGTTTTAATACTGGATTTTTGTAGGGGTACATCATTCAGAAAAGAGAAATAAAACCAAGCTTGGAAGTTGATAAACCGACTGAAGACATATTCACGTAAGCATGTAGGCGTGAGTCAGTTTGCTTTGGATGTTTATTAATGTTCTCGAATGATATAATAAATATGTTTTGCAGGTATGAGGAATTTCATCCTTTCTTGTTTTCTCAACATTCACAATGTCCATATATAGAATTTGAATCATTTGACAAGGTGGGTTTTCCAGTTCTGTTTTTTTGACCAGTTAGCACGATATGAGTTATTAAATTAATACCAACTTACTTTGATTGATAAATTGAAAATATTTTTGGTTTACAATCACTGAATCTGGGCATTAAAGGTCAATGCAGTCACAAATAAAAACTATTGGAAATTTTTGTTGCCATTTTATTTCAAGATGAAGGACCAAAGATTTTAACTTAATTTGATTGTCTGTTTAGCTATATGATACATTTACTGGGAATCTGTTCAAGTTCTTTGAGTAGTGTTATAACACAAAATGGACTCTAAAATTCTATGTATGTAAGTTGAAGTAGAGACCATGTTTTTTTTTTTAAACTAGTTACTATCTTTTTTTTTTTTTTTTTTTTACTAAGGCTGTGGATGAATTTTATTCCAAGATAGAAGGTCAGAAAATAGATTTAAAAGCTTTACAACAGGTATGGTATTGCTGAAAACATTTATATTAAACCAGCTAGCCTTAATGTGGTTTTTGTGTGGATGATGCTTTCATAATAGGAATGGGCAGCCTTTCAGAAGTAGTATGGGAATGCCCTGATCCTTTGGTTTATTGATAAAGGTACAGGGGAGGTCTCATTGTTGAAAAGCATTCCCTCATTTGTTCCATCAGTATGTCAGATATTCTCCAAAACGGAAAATACAGTGGGAACGTGAGGCCTGTTATTTATTCCCTAGTATCATTTGTGTTACTGCAGCAACCCAAAGCTTCCCAAACTTTGCTATGAAGGAAATACTCTTCTGAGGAGATTTTTATATAGGCCAAAAGAGAGGGAAATGTCCTTTCTTTACAAATAATCATATTTATCATTAAACTGTTTATTTCTAAGTGGGCTTTCTAACTCCACAGGAGAGTTTAATATGCTCTGTTTCCCCAGCACATTTGACCATGTTTTTGGAGCATTGCTGCAGAACAGCTTCAGAAATCAGCCACACTCTTGATTTGAAATTGATTTGATTTTTCAAAAATATTGATAAGTAAAGTCTTGAAATATGTGTGCAAAAATTTGGAATTATGTGAATCCCTATACCCTCCCCCTGTTATAAAAAATTAACAGCACAGGAGCACCTGGGTGGCTTAGTCGTTAAGTATCTGCCTTCAGCTCAGGTCATGATCCCAGGGTCCTACGATTGAGCCCCGCATCGGGCTCCCTGCTCGG